CCCTTCCCGTTTAGCTTGGGAGGTGGATTGTCTGCCCCCCCCCCCCCCCCCAATTTTCATACTCTCTCCATACCCTCCGGTTATGTGTGGTCACGATTAAGCCACGTCAACATTTTATATTAATTTTTTATAGAAATAATAAAACAAAACGTAATAGGAATATAAAATGTTGACGTGACTTAATCGTGACCACACAAACAAAAGAGCATAAAAAAAGTATGAAAATGAGAGGACAGACAATCCATCTCTTTAGCTTGAGAGGTTTTTTCTTTTGTCAGTTCAAATTCGTGTGTCCTGTACACATATTTGATTAAAAACATTTATTTTCATTTGCTGAGTTACTAATTAATGTACTTATTGTCAATCACTATTGTTGTGAAACTGATGAATTATGGACCACAACATGAAGATGGCGTTTTGTGGTTGTTGGTGTCTGTAAAGGCATGTACAGACATTTGAGAGTCAAAACCTTTTATTTCATAAGTCCTGTGAAAGCTTTATAGCTTTTGTCTAATTTGCATGGTATACGTAATCACGTACATAGGAGGTATGGAAGAGGACTTATATTCGCATGATGGCACAACTACATTACAACTGTGACATTAACTCTAAATTATATAACAGTGTAATGATTATTTAAGTTTGTCTCTATATGACAACTGAGAGAGATACATCGGGATCAAGGTGATCTTAGGATCATTCAGAGTTTGGAAAATATACATCTTAAGATTTTTGGAAATCATTCAAATGTTTGGTATTGGTCTCTTTTGTGTCCATAAAGTACGTTAGGTATATCTTGGTAGCACTCGATATATTAGGTCGAGAGCACTTGATAAATTCTCTGAAAAGTACTCATCAGATTGCTTTAGTATATGTCGATTTCTGTTGACATATATGATTCTACTGACGACAATAAGTCCACCAAACGCATTTCACGCTCTTTTCTATTAAAAACTTTAAACCTTATACTACATCTTTAAACTTAACTACATTAGAACCTCCTAATAATCGAATCCTAAATTTACCTCTATATATGACATTATGTTATTAATTCAAGAGGCTATAATGACAGTATACTCATCACGTATAAATTGTTCTCGGAAGCTGCGATGAGAGAGAGAGATAAGACATCACAGCTTTTGCTTGCTTGTCACACCGAAAGGTGAATAGGCTCACATGTAATTAGCTCTGATCATTTTCCCTAAAAAGAGGGACTTTTGAGGCAGCAAATTACCTCTTTTGCATGCATGAGACTTTCGTCACGCAAATCCCACTCTCTCATTTTTAGCCTTTATTCCTTTCCTTCCTTTCCCTGCTTTTGGCTAACTTTTTCATCCTTTTTCCAAGTACATAATTAAATATACACATATATGAAAAATGAATGATTAAAAACTTGAACTTTTCTCTCTCTATTTATTTGAAGTATAGAAGAAAATTTTAGTGTGTCGAAAATATAAACAGTATACTAAATGTTATAATACAATTGGTTGGAAATATGAAAAAAAAAATTCAATCAATTGTTATGACACTTGATGTACTAGATCATGTTCCCAGCACACTGAAATATTTCTCAAAGTGTAGGAGTGGTTAACTACCATGGAGCAATTACTTGTAAACTTGAATAACATGTCAATATGCCTACCTACATTTCAATATTTTTACTCAATATTGATTACATATATACATATATTGTACTTAGGCCAATTAGCTCTTGCCACCAGCTAGCATCAAGGGTCACCCAATAAATGAAATATTTTAAGTCAATTTATTTTCCCATTTTAATGTAGGGTTTAAAACTCAATTTTGTTACTGTTGGACTGCGTTCAACCACACCACATCCTATTACTTCAGTTGATAATTGGTTTGCCGGAAATCATTGAGGTGAGGACAATCGAACTAAGAACTTTGATTGCAATCGAACTCAGAATTTTGAAATGACCCTTGTCATTTGAATGATAAGACTTTAACACACCAAAGAGAAATGATGATCATCTTTCTTGAAATTTTCCATCCGTTCATAAAGAAAAGAAAATAAATAAAACAAAAACAGAAAAAACAAAGAAAAGAAATAAATAAGTTACAATCAACAAGGAGATTCCGACTTTTGAAACCTCATTAGAAAAGAGATAAACAAATTAAAACCCTTCATAATTTGTTGTTGCTTTTTCCTATTAGGGTTATATTTAAGCAAGCTGGCTTAACCTTTTTAGCATAGCTAGCTAGCTAATTAAGCTCAAACCAAGGACATTGGAGACAATTCCACCATCTGATCGGCTTCTACATGTCCAGCACTTTCATCTAACAGCCACTTCTCAAGATATGTCAATGGAGGATTGTTACAATTAGTACTACTGCTTTCGCATCGAATAATTTGCTTATTCTTCTGATCCTCGTCGCGCAGAAGATGATGATCATGAATTATTTCCGCCCCATTTGGAACTTCAATACTGAGTCGTGACACCTTGTTAGAATAAGTAGATGAATCACAAGTAGACCTGTCCCAAGAAGCAACATTGTTCAAATTCTCATAGGACAAAATCGATTCAAACTCCTCGTTAGATACTAGGTTTCCTGTGCTAATACCGCTAGGTTTTTCTTGATCATCATCAGATGCAGCATTATATTTGAGGCTAGAGGTCTTCGGAGTTGGGGAGGATCTCATCCAACCTTCTAGGAGCCGTGAAATGTTCTCAGTGCTTGAGGCATATGTGGAGGAGGAGGATTGGTTGTTCCTTAGAATAATTGAGGAGGCATGGCTTGTCATATTATCTAAGCTCCCTTCACTCAAGCTCCTCCTTGATACATTTACATTAAATGGATCATCTGACGTCGTATGAGGATCAAGAGCTGATGGAAATTGCTTCAGCTTCTTCTTCAAGTGGGTGTTCCAGTAGTTCTTTATGTCGTTATCGGTTCTCTGTGGCAGGTAGGAAGCTATTGCTGCCCATCTGCTCGATCAAACCAATATTAATTATTTTCATGTATTAAAATACATACCTATAAGAATAAACACACACACACACACACACACAACTTTTTCCAACAACATCTGGCTCTCGCTAATAACAATTAGCGTTGTATTCACAATCGTTGATAGAAAATGGTAATGAATGAAGAAGTTTGAAGATGAATTACTTGTTACCCAATAAAGCTTGCAAGTGAATGATCATCCCTTCTTCATGAGGTGTGAAGTTACCGCGCTTGATTCCCGGTCTGAGGTAGTTAGTCCATCTGAGTCTGCAACTTTTGCTGCACCTCAAAAGCCCTTTTTGCAGCCAAAAATCAAGAAGAATTGAATAATATGTACAAAACATCAATCCACAAAGAGATTAAATAAGACAAAATCATAACACATAATATTCACTAACTAATTCGCATGGTAATTAATAATTGCTTAAACTTTTTTTTTTTTTTTTTTTTTTTTTGGACGCAAGATAAATTAGGGAAGGGAGAAATCGGATTTGGGATCTCGAGTTCAAAAATAAATGCTGAATTTTACTGTCAAATTACCAGTGTTGGTTGGAACTGATCTCCAATTACCAGGACCATGTTCTTGGATGTAAGAAACGAGGACGATGTCCTCCTCAGGAGTCCATGGACCTTTCTTGATTCCTACCTTCTCACAGCAAGGAGGTCTTCCCATCTCTCTCTCTCTCTCTCGCTCTCTGCCTTCTCTCCCAAGGACCTAAAGTATAAACCTGAATATTTCATACAGTGCTCTTATGTTGAGCATATATACATATATATATATGTATGTATGTATGTATGTATGCATGTATGCATGTATGCATGTGTATGTGTATAGCTCACTTAAAAAGGAAGGAAGTATTTGCACACTTACTGTTCATCTACCTCGCCGAGTCATCTGCCCTTTTCATTAACTAACTTTAATATAGTCAAATCTGTAGAAACCAGGAAGTCGATCAAATATCTATATAGGCATTTCGATTCTCTGCGGACCTTACTGTTCGGAGTCTAAGGACAAAAAAATTGAGCTCTTGATTTGTGTGAAAGAGAGCTCAAAGTTCTTAGTTTATGTGAGGTGGGTCAACGTAATGAGTTGATAGAGACCATCATATTCAATTAAGTGGTTCAGATTGCCTGATGATTGGACGAATGAGATTTGGAGATGATCTTTGTCCGAACTTTGTATTTTCTCTCTCTTATACATCGTCACGTGCCATGCACATGCAGATCACCAGAAATGGCAACTTCACACTCTCCTCCTACCCTTTGTTTCTCTCCTCGTGAACCTCCTATGGTCCTACTTTTGGTTAACATATAATTCGGTGGCTGATTTTCTTTTGCTCTATATATGAAAAAACACACGAGACTATTAAATGAAGTCCTTAAGAATGATTTCTTAATACATCTCAACCCTAAATCCTAAACTAATTTCAACGTGAGACTCACTCACATTTTCATTTCTTGTGGGTTAGAAACGCTTGGTATGTTAGGAATGATAACATTATTAGCATGATTATCACCATAAAGTAGCTTAAGCCCGGTTGGAAATGCTTCTTTAAAATTACTTATGATCTTAAATGTTTCTAGTAACATCTCTTCTATTAGAAACACTATGAAACTTTTAAATAAAAATGCAAGTGCTTTCTGAAAAGGCACTTCAAATGCTCTTTGGAGCACACCTCTAACTTTTTATGTCAAATATGATTAGAAACATTTTTGGTGATTTGAAAGCACTTTTAACTATTAAAAAAACAAACACTTCTAAACATGCTCTAAGTTTTAGCATGAATTTTCTGGTGTTGGTCATCTGATTACACATAAAGGGGTCGTAGAATCATATGCAAGGTTCTAAAAAATGTTAGACGCTAGTCGGACGGTGGGCAGGTGTCTAGCGCCTAGGATCTTAAGAGGGTTTTTAGTTATATTTAAATTTAGCGAATTATTATTGGCATTAATCTAATTTCGCACTCTAAACTTTCTATAATTAGAAAGAAAAATACATACTGTGAGGAGTGTAAAATAAGATTTTAAAATACCGATAACAGTTCTCTAAATATATCATATAACAATAAAAACATATAAATAAGTGGCTACAGTTGATTAAGTACAAAAAATGAAATATGTATTCAAAGTTATTTTATAAGAAGGTCCAAAATTATTTTACAAAAAAATTATCATCAAATCCTTAACCGCCTAGAGGCTTCATCAAAACGCCCAAGACCTGATTGGGACGCCCAACCTCCGCCTAGCGCCTGAGCACCGCCCAGGCTCCTTTTTAGAACAGTGATCACAGGTAACTTGTTTGAATACGAATCAAGATGACTTAGCCATGAACCAATTGCAATATTATTGCCAACTGCCAACTGGTTCAGTCGCCTGCCAAGCAGCATGCTACGGAATCATCGAAAGAAACCTGGCGCCCCTGATGCCAGTTGACATGCTGTGGTGTTGTTGAAGAAAGAACCCTCCCCGCATCTAAGGTTTTCTCCCCTGACCATGACCTGAACAACGTCGGGTGTTAGTATTTTGCTTTCCATCAGAACGTGCACACAATGACACAGCTTATGTTGGAAAGTGTGCAATATAGGTTCAGACGTCCTTGAGAAGGTCTGATTTGGAAACTAAGTACTTAAACACGACGACAAAGATTTAGATAATACTACACATACAAGACAATTAATCGACCTAAACAAGGGTATCTGACTTCCATAGCATTTCAAAGCAAAAGTTCTATGCAGACAACAAAATTACCACCCAGGAACAAGAAAGAATGCAACAATTCAGACATTGTTTTTGTCGCAAATTCTAGTACCCTACAAGCACTGTGCACTCGATCGTTTTATATGCAGTTATATTATTTTGGTAATGCCGTGACCAAGGAAAATTACAAATTTTAATCCTGAAGGCCATTGGCACATCTCCACAAGTACTCAGAACATTTGATTTCATATACTCCTAAGATAAATCCTAATCCTCTGATACTGGTTATCATCAATAACAGAAGCAGAAAACCATAAACATTAGATCGAAATGAATGAAATGGGCAACATAAAGAATAAATTTACTATATTGTGGAAATCTAGCCAAGTGGATATGTATGAAAGCAAAAGATAACATCACAAATGCCTGGTAAAAACATCCAAAGTCCTAAAAAATAAATTTGACGGCCAATGCACCTTGGGAGTAAAGACCCTCTACGATATGCTTAGTTTGTAGTCAATCATGCCTTTATCAAAAAGAAGCTTAAAAGGCCAAGATATGAAGAATCATATGTTTCAAGAACTAAAAAGAAGCTTAAAAGCCTGACGGCAAGCAAAGAGATTTGAAGCAGCCAAAAGCAAAACTTTGACCCTTACATCTTTTTAACTTTTTTCTCTTGATGTTATATTCAATGTCCCTGCAATTGATTTGCTCGTGATTTCTTAAAGGGTGATATCTCATTGACTGCAGCTCTTCTTCCACCAAAGCAAGCCTTCGTTTCTCATCTTTCTGAAGCGAGAAAATTCAAAAGCATAAAAAACATACTTCTATAATCCTTGAAAAAAACACAAGAAGCAATATGGCATGATTATAAGACGGCACCTTATTAAATTTTACACATTTACATTCCACATACTTTGTATAAGAGCCTGATAAAATAGCTAAGTTATTGAGGTATCAATGATTTCATTAGTTAGTTCTTAAGGTTTGAATGAGATAATTTATTCGAACGGATTGACTATGAAAGTAACAGTTTTATGAGTGTGTCAATATGTGAAACACTTACGAATACTCTAAAAATTTCCCACGATCTAACATTTTGCCTCATGAGATTGTAATTGAATACAACAATTTATTACCATAGTTTCAAGGTGAAGCAACATTATCGGACTTACATGGGCTTTTTCTAACCCTAAAATGTGCTGCTTGCAGAGCTTGAGCTCCATTTCAAGGGAATGGAACCGAGACTCAACAGGTACTACACATTGCTCCACTATTTGTTTTTGTCTACCCCGGATGATCTCTGGCTGCCACACATTCAATGCAACTGAAGCTTGCCTGAAACAAGCAATCGGGCAATAAAACATACTGACATAAACATACTCGTAAAAAATGATAAAAAAGGGAAAAGAAAATTAAAGTTCCAGAAAAAAATTATAAAACTGCATTAAAAAAAAAAAAAAAAAAGTAATGGTGTACTTCCATGGACAAAGGTTCGGGAGCATGATATGACTCTCAGCCTCTTGTGCTGTTCCTTTTTATTCTTTTCGGTATAACAGAGGCTGGAGGCTTGAGTAGGGGAGCGCAAGAATTGAATTCCAATACTCTATCACTAGAGCTACAAGCTCTCACCTCAAGTTGTTATTGACCAAGCTCCCTAACCGTATCACGGTACTCCTTTGTTCTCCGCTAGGGGAGGGCAAGAATTGAAATCAATGGTCTCATGGTGATGGTACGGGTACTCCTTTGTTCTCCTAATGTGCACAGGCTCTGAATATGTAAACGATAATCGACGTGTTCCATGCTCTCTGAATTGGTATAATAGCTACAACTCTTGCTAAGTACTAGTTTTCAAAATGTAGTATGCAGATCTAATCATATCAGATTACAATTAACTTCTTATGCATCAATTTTTGGGATAATACAAATCATGAAAACAAATTAACCATATGAAAGTTTCCGAAAAACCAAACAGATTTCAAAGTTTCTGTACACATACATGTATTTCTAATTCTCTATCAAACTCAAATTAATTCACAGATTATCAAAAGAAAAAGAAAAAACAGTAAACTAATTACCTAATCCTGCTCAAATTTGAGAGCTCAGTAAGTGCTGCTTGCATTTTCTGAGTCTCTTCGGCCAATCGAGCCTCCATCTCTCGGAGCTTCATAGACCGTTCTACAACCTGACTCTCCTTCCTCAAAACCGCCCTCCGATGCGCCGCCATTTTCTTATCCCTCTCTCTCTCAAACCTAAAAAATGAAAACCAAAACACACAATTTTCAAATTTACATTTTCAAGTAGCTGAATTTAAAAAACAACAAATTAAATCTTTACCTGATTTTGTAGAGGGATTTAGAGGTTGATGGATTTGGGGAGGTAATCGAGGAAGAAGAAGTAGGTAAATCGGAGGAGAGGAGGTGGGACCATAGGGAGTCTTCGTCGGATAAGCGGCGGAGGCGCGCAGAGGAGATTGATATACGGCAGAGGTCCTTGTAGCTGAAACTGCCGCCTTGAACGCCGATTTCTAGAATTCGCCTCCACAACTCATCCGGGAGAGCTGACATTGAACTTAACGGTCTCTGGTGGTTGCGTAGCTGAACAAGCCGTCGTCCACGGTGGTGTTTATTTTCAGTCCCCCGCCGACTGTTATCAAACCTCCCCAACCGACTCACTTGATCATGATTTATTTAACTATTTTGTCAATCGGTCCTCCTACACCGTTGACACACGGTTGGAAAATATAGAAAAAGGGAATGTTTTATTTAATTAAGTAGGAATCTTTTCACTTTAATCGTTTAGAAGTATTTTTAAAATAACCATAAGCGCTTTCAGAAAAAATAATTTTGGGTTTCAGAAGCATTTAAATACTTTTTAGAAGCAGCATATAATATTTTAGAGAAAATATTTTTGAGTTCCAAAAACCAAGTACTTTTCGAGATTTCACTTGCGTTTCTACCAAGGGTTGGTTCAAAAAAATATCTCCAAAAGTGCTTTCACTCGTTTTAAAAGCACTACCATTTGAGAGTTTTCAAAATGACTGAAAGAAATTTTAGAAAACATATATTTTTTAGATTCCAAAAGTACTTGAAATGTTTACTACAAAAAACACTAATTATGTGGTGCACATCAAGTTTTTTTTCCATGATTTACTTACATTTTTATTAAATATTAGTTTCAATAATATTTTCATCAAAAGCATTTTCAGTCATTTTAAAACGCTTTCAGTCATTTTAAAAGTAGTCTTATCTTTCATTTACATATTAATTCATGGAATGATTAATCCATTTGAATTTTGATTTCTTTCTTCTATTACACTTTAACACTTCTTGATTTTTGGAGTAATGTTTAATTTATGCAGTCATTTGGTTTTCGTTCGGCCGTAGAAATACACATGATTCTTGCATGAGAATAAATTAAACAGAAACAACGCACATGACCACGTAAACGAATTGTACTGAAAAGAAAAATAAAGAACACGTAAAAGAAATACAGAGAGAAATATAAGCACATTGTACCTGTCAATACAAACACATACTGGAATTCGAAACGGTTATATCAAACAGGCCGAAAAATATTTATTCATGGCAAACTTTTATTTCAACAAATAAATACCATGAGAATTGTCCGTCCTACTGAATAAAACGACGGCGTACGGATTCAATGACGAAGTTACACTACCAACTGAATGATTCCAGAGACTATTCTGGCCTCTATGATCCTATGCAAAAGGATTTCCTCCGATAGACGCGACAGGTTCCTGTGTAGGGCCGTTCCTGCAAAAACAAGCAACTTCACATTAATCCAAGACGGCGACAATGTCAAGCATCAAGCACTTCCTCAACGCCGGCCAATTTGAGTTTCTAAACTCTATCTAGTATCGTCGTACTGTAGTCTGGACATTCAACCTATCCGCTAAGGCAATCTCTAAGTAGTGACTCGAAGTAGATACATCACCTGACACGCTTACATCGGGTTTTCATCCAATACATTTCAAAGAATGGTGTTTTAATTAACTCACAACCTCGTTCGAACATGTTCCTTAAACCTGTCGGAACTGGTTATATGTAAAGATGAATCAGAAATGATTTTCGTTTGCACATTCCCTCGCGACTCAATCAGATACCTCTGTACGAGGAGAAAAATTCTGTAGGAACACTCTGACCACATCATCCATAGCCCGTAATGGACCTCTCACAAAAGCACACTGTGAGCTGCCCTAGTAGTAGTAGGCAGCCCTACCTAAGTTTCTCGCGTGTTAGAGGCCCACTTCCATCAACATCATTCGTCCTTCCTCACCTAGTTATTACACGATGTCAACCTTATTATTATCCGGCTTTGGTGATAGTTTGGTGATCCTCTAACCATATGAAGTTTATAACCATACAAAAATGAGAATATCATGGGTCTGCAAAACCTGTCTCAAAGATAATGGAGAGGCTAAAAAATAGAGAGTAGAACATAAACTTACGGAATCTGAGAACTATGTGCCTGCCCTGGCGCATACGTCAAGCCACCTACATCAAATCAAAATTGAAACGAATGAAAAAGATAAGATTGTTAATATTTCAATGGTCCTGCAGTTTTCTGTGGCAACCAATATGATGCATCCAACAGCCGTTGGATTAAAAAATATGCAACCCTGGTTGGCAATAGTTGCAGGAACAAAACAAAGGAGAAAGGAATGTAGCTTTGCTGGCACTGAAAAGCTTACCTTCTGCTGCAGCTGGAATATACGGCATCCCAGACACTGGATTTTGCGGAAACCATGCCTGAGATTCATCAAAGAAAGAGGATTGCAAATGATCATTTGGGAGAGAGGCTTGTAAGGAGTTCATGTCCAAAAACTGAAAGAGACACAAGACAAAATTAGAACCGAGAAATCTAAGAATTGTATACGTCTGATAGAAAACTCCATTCCAAATCCTTCTTTAATTTAATTGAAACATGATACAGTCTAAGAATAATATGGTAGACACTGATTAGTACCAACCTTTTTTTTTTTTTTTTTGAACAAACGATAGTATCTACAATAAGAGGGAGGGGGGTGGGCTTAGCCTCTCAATGGGCTAGCAATAATGTGGTTCAAATTGCCTTTGGCGAGAATCAAACCTAAGAACTAACTTACATGTGAGAAGGAATACCACTAGACCGTAGTACTAAATGGCTGATTGGTACCAACTTATTCCAGTCTATCAATCACACCACTTCCAGTGTGACTTGCCCATAAGATTTAAATTACATTACATTACTGGGAGAATAAAACATGCAACAAGTGTCTTATCCCGCCACACTTTTAAGCCATGAATTAGTCTAAATAAAACTGAACGCGGTCAACTAACTAGAATGGTATCATATTTAATTTTCAGAGACTGGATCTTAAGAGGCATATGTAGTCTGCAGCATTTATTACACTAATAGAACTCTTCTTTCACAGAAAATACAGTTTTGATGTCAAATATTGACTTTAGTTATCAATTCACAACTTTTACAGGAAGTACACTTCATTTCCGCTAGCAACCAAGCATCATGCTATGGTTATCCTTGACTCGGTTTTCTCTGACAGTTGACAGATATGGTAAACAAATAATAGCATCACTCCACGCATGCCCTTAATCAGCTTCCACATTCAAAATTCTCATGCAAACACACAAACACTCACATAAAGCTAATAGAAAAATAGAAATAGGGAACAATGCACTATAATAGAAACACAATTTCACTATAAGAACAAAGGAAAAATGGCAATCCTGATGCAATAACTAACAAAAACATACCATACTGTTCTGATCCAGATCTGTATCATAAGGAAGATCAAATGGGTTATTTGATTTGTGGTCGGTGGCATGTGACTTAATTTCTCCCTGTAATTTTAGGAGTGGGACAAAAGAGATTAGGATACAACTAAGCAGATTCCATTAAACAAATCACAGGAAAGATGCTGAAGGAAATAGAAGAGTAAAAACCATTTGAGGAAGCACTTGTGGAGTATATGATTGCCCCAACACAGCATGTAGTGGCAGACTTGGATCGTGGGGTTCACCTTGAGAAACAGCTCCCTGAATCCCATCTTTACTAGATTCCTGCAAGCGAATTCCATCAGTGGAAGAAAATAAATAATTTGAGAGAAATATAAGGTTGACGCAGAAACCTCGGAGATTCTTAACCCAAAATCACGGTCACCAGCTGACGAAAGCTTGTCAGTTGCTCCTGGCTCACTGCCCTTTTCAGCCACCTCCGATGGAAGGTGTCCAATAGAATCTTCAAAAGCATTCCATGACTACTCAAAAATAACATATCAACCTGATTACATTCCTTCATATTAAGGCATGCCACTATGTTAAGGAAACTTTATATTCATTATAATAAAAAAATTAAAAAATTCAAGGGGGTGTTAAGCACATAGAATGCCATCATGATCTTTTAGACAAGTTTATCCACCAAAAGAAAGAAAATAACTTTGAAAGAAATCAGGTCGACATTCTCCATGGAGCTCAGCCTTAGAAGTTATGAAACCAACCACCCATTAAAAACCATCCTTCTGAAAAGCCAAATAATGAATTGGTGCAGGGGTAGTTTGATCATAAGATGCTTACCTGTGCGCTTCCAGTATTGGGATCTGTGACATTGTGCAAACTATCACTCCATGGACTAGAAACATCTGAAAACGGTCTATGACTACTAGAGTACTCAAATGATGGCCATTGCATGCTTGTGTTTGATGACGAGAATGCTTCAAAATTTCCAATAGAACCTCCACCATTGGAAGCTATATTTTCAAGGGTCATATTTTCGGAGGATGGAAAGGAAGCTGAGGGCTGAGGCGTATCAAACGTTGCCCATCCTTCATTTTTAGGGGCAGCCTCAGCTACTTGTTTATCCAAGGTTGGAGTTGACTGCTGCTGAGGAAAGTCAGCAAATAACTCCAAGGAAGGTCGGAAAACTTGAGGCTGGTCCATATTCATACATGAGTTGGAAGATGATAAAGACGGTTGAAACAAATCTACGGATGGAGACGAAGATGCTGCTGGTAACTGGAACAAATCAATGGAAAAGGCTGCAGAAGAGACTTCTGGTTTAACTGGGGCCTTGAAAAGATCCAAGCTATCACTACTGCCAAGATGAGATGATCCCGTTAAAGAGGTGGATTTATCCGGGAGGATTCCAGTAGCTTGTTCAGGTTCGACAGCATTTGTTAAACTGCCTGAATTAAATGACTTGGGAGACATGGAATAGCTATCCGCTGAGACAAAATTTCCTAAGGATGCAGTTCTCTGAACAAGCAAACAAGCAACTGATGTCAGGTGATGAAAAAACTAGGGGCAGCATAATATGATTATCAAATAGAAATGAAGTTAATTAGATAGGATAATGCACATATACATACGGACAAAAGCAGAAAATGAAGGTACGCACACCAATTAACATAGCACTAATAAAATGGGGAAATGACTCCACTTAACTAATTGAGTGACAAATGCCTATCCAAAGAAAACATGACCCAAATCATTGATTACATGAACTTACGATCCAATCTTAAAGTTTCCCCTGTACGTCCCAAAACCAGTTAAATTCAATGCTACAGAAATATATATAACATTAATATATATATATATATATATATACAAACACAAACAAATAGGGTAGTGTGTCCGTCCTATGAGAATATTAAAAGGTACACAGCTGTAGTTTTAATAAGAACCTTGGATACGGCTAATCTTTTTTAATGGTATAACCAAGTCTACAAGAAAACGACCTGCGGACAGGATATCCCTGCTGCATCTCTCTTGACAATTGCCTCTGGATGTGTATCTTTTGCTTGGTGTCTTACTTCAGTTAGATTATCCCATGAAGGCACAAAAGTGGGGCTGCTGGATCCAGTGTCCTTCTGAAAATTAGGAGACTGTACTCCAGATCTAGACACATCACCTCCACTTGACACAGAGAAATCTGAAGCTCTTGAACCAGAGCCCTCATTTGCAAACCTGTCTTCATACATTTGCTCACTTAAACGACCGGCACTGTAAACAAAACTCGACATCTTTCCTTCATATCGACCTCGATCAGAACCAGGCTTCCTGGTAAGTGCAGCAGCTTGTTTTCCATACCGTCTATCTTCATACTGATAGTCATAAGGTGGACTTTGAGAATAGGAATGATAAGAACTAGCACGTCTCATCTCATCTTCACGGATTCTATGGGTCTGCAAGGAATAGCACAAATTAGGCCCATAATCTTTGCAGAACAAAATAAGTCAAAGTGTAACAATAGGAGATTATTGGTGTATACAGTTACAGCCAATTCATTCTGTTCTTTTGATGATGTGCATGATGTATCTGAATCTTAAAGAGAAAAACTAATTAGTTGTTTTGTAATTTCTTCAATGGAACCAAATAAGAACAGGAGGAGGCCGCTGTTATGCCCCAAGAAGCAAATTAACTGGACAATTACGAAAATGCTTTTTGGTTATAGTCAATTTTTCTGCAGTATTACAAATAAATATTTTCTTAGTTCAGTGAAATAGAAGCATAAGTAAATAATATCATGGGCCCTCCCAATGCATTTTCACTCTCTCAATTATGTACCTCAATTTAGCACGGATACACAATGAATACTCTTATGTGGAAATTGTTATTAGCACTCCAAACATCTAATTGTGCACTCCAAACTTTCTATACTTACAAAGAAAAATACTCTTGTGAGGAGTGCACAATTAGATTATTGGAGTGCCAATAATAGTTCCCAAAAACATCTGACTTTTTCATTTTCAGAAATATCAATGTTACCACTGATATTTGTGCAAATCCAAACTATCAATATATCTGCCCATATCACTATTTTAATCCATACTATTACCTGCATGTCTCTTGGAGGCTTTTCAGAGGTCCTTCCTCCAGTATATTTCTTATCTACAGTATACACTTCTTATGAACTCACGGATTTTATCAGCCTTACTGCAAGAAGAAAACATAACATAAGTGTACACCCCACAAATGCACATGCTGAACACTGTAGCAATAAATCATATAACTATTACTTGCTGTCTGGCAATCGTTGCCTTTGAAGGTCCCAATCCTTCAAATAAATTTCCCTTGCACGCTGATAAGAGTGAATGCCCATTAGAATAAAAACAAGCAAACATTTTCTTCCAAAGAAAATGAGAATTCAGCATGTACCTGGTTACCACCATTTTGGAGGGCTTCAACTTCTTGTGAAGTAAATTTGGACATGGATACTGACTTCACACGATGAGTAAATTCCCGACTATATCACAAAATAATATGTATGATTCGATTTGGGAAAAGAAATGAAAAGTGGACAGAGCATAAGTACAACATGCCAAACAGGGAAAGTCCCGCATCATTAAAATACAAGTGGACACACGGTGCTTACTTGAAGGAAACTACATTTATGTTGTGTATGGATGATGCATTTAGGCTACATAAATAAGAAATGCGCTACAAAACCTTAGATAGATGGATTTGAAATGGCTAGATGCACTGCACTGAGAGGGATTTATAAATGACTACTTCAAAGGAGTAATTTGAAAATCCTTTGTATAGTGGCTTTGTAATGCTCATGTATTGCATTTTCAATCCCTTTATCTAATGTTTTGTAGTGCATTTCTAACTAATTTAGTGATGCAGGGCGCAGCGGATAGAAACGAAATAAAATAAAAGATACAACGGATAGGTAGGGTCCACTATCTCGTAGTGCGAGGAGAGACCTAAAAACCCTAAAAACTTTGGTTCTAGTACCAGCCTACGACGTAGACACAAGAAAGAACAAATCTGAAAACTCTTAAACAAGAGAAAGGCACATAAAAACGACTTAACAACTCAAATATCAATACGATAATTCAAACAACCTTTTCCCTTCTTGTTTACATATACAAGTATTTATAGGCTTACAACTTAAAGTGAATAATATGAAAAGACATAAAAAAATAAAGGCTTACAATATAACTCCTAAAAAACTAAATGGTTTCATAAAATGTCATTAACCTAGGAATTCCATAAGCTACAAATTTAAAGCTAGACACATGCATTATACCTACAAAACACCTTTGGTCCTTGGCCTGCATCATTTAGCCTAAATCCTGCATCCAAACAGAACTTTAGGCATCAATGTGCTCAAGGTTCAAAGACTCACTTTACCATGAACGGTACTGAAGGTTGGAAAAAGGGTAGTGATAACTGTCAAACTCTAAGAATTAATCATCCGGGCATACATAAATATATTTCCATTCAAAAGCTTGATCTAAAGAGCAATAATTCTGAATTAAAAGTACGGCAATTTAACAATCATGATTTCATAATGAAGCACACAGCTGGCCTGTGCACAATGCCACCTTAGGTAATTTATAGTTGATCCATCTCTAAAAGGACTTTCAATACATTTATCTTCAAAAGAAGTTTACAACAGAAAAAGTGAAATGAAGAGGCAATCTTCACCCAACATGCATAGCTGAAAGACACTGATAAAAGAAAAATTAAAAAATCCCTGCTCGGTTATGATATCGGACGGTTTAGAACCTATCACATATTCTATGCAACTAACCAAAAGAATTCAACCTAAGAAACCTAGTTTACTCTTAAATACTAAAAGGGCTTTGAAGTTTGCTATGTTTTGGCTAGGTAAGAGCTTAAAAAAAAACTAAATTTCGTGTGGGTAATGGTACAGTTTTCACACCAAATCCACTGAAAGCATGATTTAAACCTAAGTACAAAATCCTTGACACTTGTTTAGTTGGGCCAGCATCCTTATTATAGAACATTTAGACAGCCCAAAAGCACTTAGTGAATGGCCTAAGAGGGAACTCAACAATCCAGCACATTCCCAAGCCCAAAGTGATTATAATGGAGGCAGACGGACAACTTTGGCACTTGCATGAGTACCATGCATCTCCTATAGTTAAGGTAACCCCCAAAAAAAGAACTTGGCCCACTTTATAAACAATTAATTGTATTTTTGTTGCGAGCATAGACCTTCAGTCATTCGGTTATTTTCAATACATTCCAAAGAGAACAGTCTTGTGTATGTTCAGCAATAAAAGAGGATGGAGAGCAAGAAAGAGAGATAGCTGTTTAAATGACATCGGGTTTAGTTTATGGATGTCATATTAGGCATGGAACTTGATGCCAAAAAGTTTCCTAAAGTGATCTTGATGAGAACAATATTTAAATGGACAAGTATTAAGTTGGTATAAGATGTTCTATAATTAGAGTGCTAAGTTGGTCTTACGGATGTCTTCCTTATTTAAACACTGTAAATCATCTCCCAGAGTTGAATTTCTTTTTACTTGTAGGATAAGCTAAACTTTCAAGAGGTCATTGCTTTCTTTCTCAATAAGTAGCCTAAAACTTTCCTTGTTTTTTCATCAGAACTTCTCATTTACAAAACTGTAAAACTTGTTCTACACACTTAAAAAGGAAATAAATGAAATGTATAATTGCAGAGGCTGATAATGAAGTTTATACATCGATTTGCAACAAGAAGCACACTAACCAGAACGGGTTGCAAACATTACACAGTTGACCAGATCATTATGATTTATAAACACCGAAAATCCTATCTTGCAATAATTTCCCTTCCACTCTCTGTCTATGGGTCTAAAAATTGAAACTTTTGTAGTCGACTAAACTTGTACACATATACAATCAATAAATATCCCATATTTTTCCTCAATCTTCAATATCCATTTTAGTGGGATTGTTGCACAGATGGCAGCAAGCAGAGAAGTTCTTTGATATCCACTCAAATTTCTAACTAATAATTTGAGCTCAGTAAAGTAGTTGCAAATTTTAGATACTATAACCAAAAGGGCCTCAGGCAAACATAGCAAATTGAGAAACTTTTCGGTTTTCTATTTCCACGCAGAAACTAACTCCGGCATGCAATCTCAAGACCGCAAAATTTGAAGGATGAATACGTTTACTAGGAGGCAAACATTATGCACTACAAACAAGAAACTGGATCAAATGATTATGAAGAAACTCACTGTATGCCACTGCAAGTCATGCAAACGAAAGTCCAAAAATTCGTGCAGACGTACTGAGGACCCTGCATATACAAACCAAATTGCATTAAACAAAATCCTCCAGCTGCGAGAATCGAAACGGAAACGAAAATTTCCGAGAAAACTAGAGAAAGAGAGAGACAGAGAAAGGAGAGTACCAGGCCATTACAGTTGATACATCGCCGATTAGGAGGGAGCTTCATGAGGCCCCGAATGATCTTCTCGTTTCGCTCTTCCTCTTTTCTGCTTCCCATTTCTGAAACAAAATCAAAACCCTAGAACCAGAAGAAAAGGAAGAACGGAATCGGAGGGTGGATGTGGAAATGCACTACCCTCCTCCCTCCTCTCTCTCTCTCTCCTCCCTCTCTTCTTTCTCTCTCTAGAAGGAAGGAGGAGGCTTTAGGGTTGATTCAGTTGGGGTTTTGAATTTGGGAGAGAGGGGAACGACACTCCCGAATCTGAATCAACTGCTTCGACGACAATTGGACAGCAAAAGCGCTCTCTGCCTTTCCTTTATTAAGTCATATTTTTTGGATTTTATTTCCTGAATTTGGCCGACATATTAAGGTGGTCTTGAAAATTAAAAATCGATCAATATACAATTTGAAAATAAGTTTTGTCAAAATTACGTTATATACTAATGTGACGCATAAATGAATTTCAGAAGTTATTTTTATCATAAATAGTCCATAAAATTGAAAATCATTCAGTGCAATTTTTAAGCATGAAGTCTTTATATAAATTCTTATACAAGTAAGTTTTTTTTTAACAAACGATATTACTTTTAGTAAGGGTGAGGGGATAAGCTTAGACTCCCAATAAGCTAATAGTAATATGGTTCAAATTTGTATTTAATAAAAATCAAACATAAAACCTCTTACTTACCAATAAAAATATCAATGTATCGTAATATTAAGTATATACGTAAGTATTTAAAATTAAAGAAAACTAACAAGAAATTCAAAAAAACTTTAATTTTAATAATAAAAAAAAAAGATAAATAAAGATACACTAAATAATACCAAAAAAAAGTAAAAATATAATTTTTAGTTAAAAATAAATAATACCGAAAATATTTCTTTAAAACACCTTATAAATTACCATTTGAAAGTAAAAAAGTACGAGAGAAACTAGAGAAATGATTGTTAAGAAAAAGAAGAAAAGAGAATAGAAACCGAATCCAGGAGAGTCCAGGTGCTTCATCTACCAACAAAATACCAAAGATACAAAGCGTAGGATTAGCCAACCAAAAACCCATCGGACGGTTAGAAATCGAATTCGAACTTTTTCATTACCCTTCACCCACTCTCACTCAAGCATCCTTAATTCCACTCCCCCTTTCAATATCGCCACCCCTTATCCCTCTCCCCCTCTCGCAACCTCTCCAATGGCCAATGTCCTCCGAACTTCCCCTTTCTCGGCGCCAATTGCACCGCCGCCCTCCGCCGCATCGCCAAACTCTAGAAAACCGTTGTACGTTTCGTTTCGGCGAAGCCAAACCAGCAGCAGTAGCACGCCTTATCTCACTATAAGCTCCCTCCGGTTCTCTCATTTGCCGTCCCTCCGGCTCGTCAAGTTCGCGCCTTTGGCTTCACAAGGTGAGGCCGAGACGGCTGGGACGGTGGAGGAGGAGGTTCAGGAGGCCGAAGAAGTCGAGGTATTGTTTACTTATTTTATTTATTTGTTCCTGAAACTTTTAGAATATTTCTTTTTGCTAAATTTCAGAATCGTTTTGACTTATGGATTGAGAAATTGGTTTATTAGCAAAGTCGAAAAAGAAAAAAGCAAACTAACATTAGATTTCATTTATTTATGGAGCAAAACCGAGCTCAATAACGTTTTAAAATTCATACAGCCGACCGCCACCTAGTGAGATAAGGATTGGTTATTATATTTATTTATGGACCAATTGGATAATGTTTTAGGAAGTGATTTCGCACACCATTGGATTGAATAAATCAAAAGAGAATGAAGGGAAGGAGGAAGACGGTGTGCAGAAATCAATTCTCATGTTTTATGAACAAGTGATGAAAGGAGAAGGCTTGGCTTATTTCATGATAAATTAAGGGTAGTGTTTTCCACACACCCATTTTTACTTCTCACACATCTCTTAATTGTTGGCCGTCGGATCAGGTGAACTGAAGAAGATCAATTGCCAAAAGTAACAAGGATGTGTGAGAGGTAAAAATAAGTGTACGAATACCACTATCCTAAATTAATTGAACAAATTACACTAGGATTTCTGATGTTTGTAACGGAATGGAATCGAGCCATTGATGTAACTAATGCTAACCCACCTCACTTACCTCTTAACTTGATTTACTCCAAAGCGGAGGCCAGGATCCCTTTTGTGTCCACATTTGTGTATTTGTGTAATAGTTTGGGGAGAGTGTTGATCATGTCTTCTTATCGTGTTATTTTAGCTGGAAATTATGGTGCTTTTTATTATAGTTTGCCGGGCAGCACCAAAACAGTGCTTCTCTTTGTTTAGTGAGTAGTTTGATAAGTGTTTTAATATTAACGTAAAATAGAATCAATGTTTGTAACAACAAACACATAGCGCAAGGCATTCCATGTGTGACAAGGCTATTTTGGGACCTGGATTTTTTTGATAAGAAACGTATAGAAGTATATAGAACTAGTTGGAAAATTGTCACTTTTTTTGTCTAGTGGGAAAAGTATTAGTTAGCATTCAAGCATAGAGTCAATCCTAGAACAGTTCATACTCAATTTTTCAGGGCCTATTGGGTGATGCTGTCCTTACTTCAATTCGTAATTCACATGGAGACTCTTTTCAGTGATGTTTTTCATGTTTCAAATCAGTTTGTAAGATTTCACAGTCAACTTGGACTCTTCTCGTTTGGTAGAAGGATTGGATTGGAAGGGATAACCCTCTAAATTCAAGGCATATTGACCATAGAAGAGAATGATTTTTCAGTGTGAGGGGATTAGAGAGGATTAGACATGAAGAAAACTTCTCCCATCTAATCCTCTCATTTTGGGGAGGATTGGAATGGATAACTTTTCTTATTGAGCAATCCTTCTTCTACCTCTAAGTTGGTCACTTTTTTCATTTCTTCTTTCAACATACCTTTAAAATGGTGTCTTATCTATTCCATTCCAATCCAATCCAATCATGTGTACCAAACGAGGCCTTATACTCATGAACTTTGAAGACTAAAAGGAATTTACTTTCTTTTTTTCACGTAATTTTTCCATGTATTCTTGGGCATCATAGCTCGTCATCCACATGATCCTAGGATTATGATGAGGGCTGTGATTCTCTATGGTTAGTGAGTCGTGTTAGCACGAAGATTCTGCTGCCATCTCATTTTGATTGACATCTCAAAAAACATTTAACTTGTTGAGTGGTGAGTGGCTACTCTCTCTCTCTCTCTCTCTCTCTCTCTCTCTCTCTCTCTCTCTCTCTATATATATATATATATATGTATGTATGTATGTATGTATATATGTATAATGTATTTCTTTTAAAAGAAGAAGCATTCATCCTGAGGTATATGTATGTATATATGTATAATGTTTTTCTTTTAAAAGAAGAAGTATTCATCCTGAGGTTCCTGGCAGATTACTTACAGAGTGTAAAAGACGAAAGATTATATGTGGATCAAGTACTGCAATTCTTGTATAATTATGACTTCTTTATGATCCACACCAAAAATCTCAAGACATATTTGTTTTCAGTTCCCTACTTTTCTTTCTTTTTCTAATAGATTTATGGAACAGGACTCTTTGGATGGTGCAATTCCTGTGGAAGATAGTACCAGTGACGGTGAAGAAAGTGGTACGAGTGATGATGGTGAAAGTGATGCTGAGGAAAAATCTGTTTCAGCCATCACAGCGTCACTCCAACAATACAAAGAAGCTTTAGCCAGTAATGATGAATCAAAAGTTGCTGAAATAGAATCTTTCCTAAAATCTTTTGAAGATGAGAAAATAGGACTTGAAATGAAAGTGGCTTCTTTGTCCGAAGAACTGTCAGCAGAGAGGGTTCGTATTCTGAGAATAAGTGCAGATTTTGACAATTTCCGGAAAAGGACAGAAAGGGAACGCATTTCTCTCGTAACAAATGCTCAGGGGGAAGTTGTGGAGAGTTTGTTGCCTGTAGTGGATAATTTTGAGAGGGCTAAAACCCAGATTAAGGTGGAGACAGAGGGAGAGGAGAAGATCAACAATAGCTATCAGAGCATTTATAAACAGTTCGGAGAGATTTTAAACTCTCTTGGTGTTGTTCCTGTTGAGACGGTGGGGAAGCCCTTTGATCCATTGGTATGTCATTCAACCTTTTATGGTATGCATAGGTGAAACACTTATTAGCATTTTCTGACATTCAGCGTTGAACATTTTTCTTTGTTTGCTCAGTCTATAATAAAGAATCCACTTTAGTTAAAAGTAATTGTACAAGAGAAAAACAATTGAATTGGATTCTCAATAACCATAAACCCACTTTTTATCCTTTGACGGGAGGGATGCACCAATTACAGTAAGGCATATAATTCTTCCTGACAAACACTATATCTTGGCGATCAATAAGTTCATGAGTGGAATTGTCCCGTTTTGTTGGTTAACAATATGACTTGTGTGTTATGGTTGGCTTTATGCAGGTAAGACACCAAGTTGGCTCGAAATTCAATCAGTTACTTGATGATTATTATCAAGTAGTTAGTCGATTTTGTTCAGGTTTGGTGAAGACCTGGGTACGGTTTTAAGTCTGACCAAATCTTGATTGAATCGAGCCAATTTGGTGAGTTCATGAGAGTGAAAACTACATGTGACCTATTTTGCATTAGTAGGATGAACACGCAATGTTAAAGTTACTGAAGGGTTACATCTTGTGATTGTTTGACATCACACTCAGTATGCAATCTTTAAATTTATTAAGACATAAATAATTTATGCAATTTCTAACCTTAAACTTTCAATTTCTTGAACAGTTGCATGAAGCAATTATGCGTGAGGACTCTTCAGAATACGAAGAAGGTGTTATAATCGATGAATTTCGCAAGGGGTTTAAGCTTGGTGACAGGCTTTTGCGTCCGTCAATGGTAAAGGTATCGGCTGGTCCAGGGCCTGCCAAGGTAGAGCAGGAACTACCTCCATCTGAGGAACAGGATGCAAGTGAAACCGCCGAGAAGGGAACCAAGTCAGCTTAAAGACCACGTATTGAGTCTAGTTCAGTTTTGCAACAGAAATAGTGACTTCATTTGTACTCCAATCAGTAGGGTAGTGATTTTTGGTGGGCGTGGCGGTTTCTGGTGGCATATTACTGTCGATTTTCTTTTGTACTGAGCGAACCATCACATACCGATATCATATATTTGTGTGTTTTGAATGCGAGCGCAGTATAACTTTTGTGTACTGATTTGGACGTCCTTGAATGTTAAGTTCCTACCAGATTATCAAAGTATCATTTGGAGTTCTGTTTCTTTTTTTGTTTTAAGTTCATACTGTTGGAGCTTTTCCTGACCAGTTGGTTT